ATCAAACACACTCTGGGATTCAGTCTACTAATAAAACCTTGAAAATAAATCAATATGCATTACTTTTTGCACAATTTGTATTAGCTGTAGCTACAGGAAATAAATGAGAAATGTTTTATCTGAAATTATTTTCATAAAATACAGGTTGCAGTCTGACCAATTCTACCCTGTGAGAACCCTGTGTGTTTTCCAGAGTGAACGTGCACTTCATAGGATTTTCACTGACTGTGACTGTCCAAAAATAGACCACAAGATTTTCATTCTGAGGGGCTACTCCGTGGACTTGATCTTCCACTTAGTAGGTGAATATTATTTGCTTTACCCGGTTAAAAAAATAGAGATCACCTGTTTTTACAGGTGAGGCAGATTTCAGGTATAATATGACTTTGTTCTGGTGCTTTTAAAAATGGAAATTTTTAAAGCATTTTTCTGATATCTGTGATTTGGATTTTTTTTTCAGGTACTCTTCTGGGGTCAATAGGCTATCCCAGAATTACAAATGTCCACCTGAAGCACAACCGTTAGGTATGAACCACCTCTTATACAGCAAATTATATTAAATAGTTAAGGCATAATGCAATGCTTCATAATAACACATATCTAATATTTTGCAACTTGTAAAAGATATTACTATTGTATTAGTATGTTCAAATTGTTTTAGAGCATATAAAAATGTTTAGTGTTTTATTCATATAAGGTATAACATATATATATTGAAACAAGCATTTAACTAACTGCTGTTAGATATGAAACCTCCCCAGCAGCCCCAATTTATGTACAAATTCTATTCAAATATAGGAATAGAATGTGCTTTTAATCTGCAGACTGTCTGAAATTTCATTTTGGTAAGGAACCTTCCATTTACCCTAGACTTTAAAATTTACTGTCATAAGAGTGTTACTATTATATTTTAAAAATAATTCTTTAACTCTCTATAGCTCTTATTTTTAATGCTGTGATTTTTTTTCTGTTCTATTGTTTTTGTTTTATTTTGGAAAAAAAAAAAGGATGGCACAGGTTAGGACAGGGTTTAGATCTGTTGTTCACAGAGTTGCTATGAGTTGTACTGGAATCAATGGTATCTAACAACAACATTCTGCCAAGGAGTTACCTTTTACTTTGAATGTTTCAGTACCATGTTTTGTTGGTTTTGGTTTGTGTGTTTTTGTTGTTGTTGCTGTTCAGAGTAAAAAGGGCAAAGAGTAGCTTTTTAATTTTAAAATAAATTTCATTAATCTCATTGTATATTTTTATTATCCTCTCATTCCTATGCTCTATTTTGGGAGTTGTTGCTTATTTTCAGAATTTTAGTTTTAGTAATTAAAACACTTAAAGTTTTAATTTGTTCTGTGAGTAAGATCTACTCTGACTAATCACCTTTTGGAAATCTCTACAGAGTTGCACTGCTAACGCAAAAGTGACATTCTCTGGCAATTCAAATCCACCAGCTATTCTGAGGGAGAAAGGTGAGGAAATCAGTTCTAACTCAATAGCAGTGAGGGTGAGTCCACAGAAATAAAAGTGTTATACAGAAGAACAGACAGAGGGATGTCTGCTAGATCATTTTCCAGTGTGGTAAGTGAGCAAACATACCAACAGGATACAATCTAAATGGTTATCAACACAATAATGGTTGCCTAAATTATATGGCAAGTTCAATGTAGAAGATTATCTTGTTATTTAATCTGTATATAGTGCTCTAAAGGAATGTTCATAAATTATGTGTAAAACAAAGCTTAAAAGTTATGCAATCCGTAGAGTTCCAGTTTAAAAACATATACACATATATACATTTCTATATAATCAAACACATAGAAATTGTGTTTATGTGCACATGCATATATGCACATAAAGGTGAAAGAAGATATAGGCAAACTCTGGTGGCCTAGTGGCAAGAAGCTGCACTGCAATCCCAGAGGAGTGCGGTTCAAATCCACCAGAAGCTTTGCTGGAGAAGAAGGAACAATCTCCTCCTGTAGCAGTCAGATCTGATTTGACAGTACACACACACACACACACACACACACACACACACTAAAATAATTTTAAAAAACCCCAAAAAAAGTGAAAGAAGAGATAATGAAACATCACTTGGTTATCTTGAAGGAACAAATCCTATGGTGTTCTCTCTCTCTCTTGTAGTTGCGTTTGAACTGATTAATAGATGACCCTCCAGTACATTTCTAAGGCTGTATACAGCACAGGAGGAGGTTGCCCATTTTTCTCTCGAGGAGCCAGTGGTAGGTTTGAACTGCCAGAGTATGGCTTTTGAGTTAGCAGCACAACTCACTACAGGCTGTGCTACCAGAGTTCCTTCTTCCATGCTGGGAGGGAGGAGAATATATCTACTATCTATCCATCTCCTTATCTCTTGATTTATTCAAATCAAC